CTCAAGGTCTATATCAAGCGTGAACACAGGGGATCCGTACGGGTACCCATCTGTTCTGCTGTTACGGTGGCGGGAAGGCTGGGATGCCGGCGAGCAAACCCTATCTCGCTGGCTTGTTTCGGTTATTTGTGCTGCTTATCAGGCTAAGGGCAAGCCTTCCCCTGAGGGGTTGAAGGCTCACTTGGTCAGGGCAGTGACCACGTCAAAGGCTTTTGCATCGGCACCGCCCATTGAAGAGATATGCTCTGCGCAATTTGGAGCAGGCCTAGCACTTTTATCAGGCACTATCAGCTCGATACACATTCACGTGATCGTGTGCGTTTTGGCCATTCTGTTCTCTCCAGTGGACAGTGTCCTGCCACCCTGACCGAGTGAGTCTTGGTTATCTGGACAGTTGACGCTGCTTTCAATTGTGTATTATTGATATATCCGCTGTTGTGCTATCTAACTCCTTTCGATTCTCTCCGGAGATTATGGTCGGTTGTGAGTTGGTTTTTTCCCCTTTACGGTGCTCTCTAATAGATCATGATGTGGGCGGGGTTTTTTACTTTCGCACTGTGTGTGAATTGCTGTGCTTAACCTCTGAGGTCGGATCTAAGTACTTATCCTCCCTGTCTGGTTACCCTCCCATAATGCCTCTCGTGGAAGCTTCGGGACACGTGACAGGTGAGTGTTGTTGCGTCTGTTACATTCTTCCTAACGACTAATGATCGCTATTTATGTGTACTTTGACAGAATTCCCTCCTCCCTGGCCTCCGGTCTTTGGGAGTTAATGCATATATGTACCCCAAGGGCGATCTCTCTGAAAAAGAATTAGCTAAACCTGTAGAGGTTTCCAATTCTTTGAAGAGAGTCTTCCGGTTGGGTAGGGCGGCCCACCTCCCAGCAATTCTGTTCACTGATTTACCGAATAATAGATAAAAAAGATTTTTATTTATTGTACAATATTTGTATTAAAACTTTGATACAACTGTCACATGATATTTTCAGCCGCAGAAAATGCATATATGTACCCCAAGGATGACTCTCTTCAAAGAATTGGAAACCTGTACAGGTTTAGCTAAGTTTGCTTGTCAGTGTGCTGTGATCCTTGGAACACAGTTAATTTACCAATGCTGAAGATGTTTAGAATCCTTGCATATGTTCAAGGCAGGGAACCTCACTTCCTTCTTATGTGTGCTTAAAGAAACCTCTGAAAAAAATCAGACTAAGTTTTCATGGACCTCTTCTCATAAAGGCAAGAATTATTATGGATGCCAACTTCTATATTTTGAGATTGAAGTTTACAACATAAAGAAGTTGACATCCATTAATTTTCTTCCCTCTGTGTATCAAATGCCACTCAAAGACCTCTTGTGATAGTTTGTCATGCTTTGGTACTATTATTTTCAGGTTTGTGTAGTGCATGATATTAAACTGGACAGACTCCTTATGGTAGCCAGGACATGAAAACTCAGCACCTGTTTGCATATTGACTTACTACATCAACAGACAACTGTACAGGATTTTCTGTCACAACATTGATGGCCACAGTCTAGGGAATTCATTACTGTTCAAGAAAGTTGAGTTGCACATTTAAATAGCTTCAAGGCTGAATATCTGAAAGAAGCATCCAGTCTGTGATTTCCAGCACAGATGCCAGACAGATGCATATAACTGGATATCAGCCAGCCAACCAGTATGATTGGGAACCACTAGCGGCTGCAGCATGGACCAAAAAGACCTGCATTTTCCTTCAGGAGAGAACTTCCTACCAGGTATTTGCTCTTCATCAGATTTCAACACACCAGGTGTTGGATAATGGCGAGGCCAGAACTGTTTGAGAGGCATTCTAGAAGTTGTAAGCAATAGGAATAACAAGTCTTTATGGATGATCAACTACTTTATTGTACAATAGCGACGTTTTGGTATAGATACTTATATCGTTTTCAAGCTTGAGGACAGCTTATTCCAGCCGCCAGTGGTGGACGAGTGCGTTTATGCCTCTGTCAACCTGGGTGGGTCTTAGGGTTCCTCCCTGGGCTCGGATAGGCAGGGCAGTGGCTGCCGTCGTTCCAGACCAATGCTCAGACATTGAAGGCTGCGTATCGCTCCTCTGAGGAGCAATATTGCAATGCCGTTCAGCAGCTCTGAGTGGTGGTCCAGTCAGCATACCTCCATGTCTTGCAAGGAGAGCTAGTGGACCAGGGTCAGCCAGATGATGTGCTCTGTCATGGGCCTTCGTGGGTTGTGGCTGGCAGTAGTTTGCTACTCGCCAGCCACTCATCAGGCCCTACAAGATAGGTTCTACTCTCTTTCCTGGGGCATTGAGAGTAGTCAGAGAGGCTGCGGAAGTGGTATGTACCTTTAAGGACTCTAAGCCCTTTCTGGAACAACCCTCCGCTTCTCGCAATCGGCTATCGGTTCTTGCCACTTTTCATCCTTTGGCACTGGTGAAGGAGGCTGTCAAATGGACTACAGTCCAAGAAGGGCAAGAAAGCTTAAGGCAAGGGCAGCGCAGGGCAAGGGCAGTCTTTTTGGGGAAGGGGAAGCCTGCCCCGGATTCCCATTAACTCTCTCTTGGGCACCGTTGGTGACCCTCGCACAAGCAATGACGTTGGACTGCCTGTGGAGGCTCACTGCCTCTTGCCAAACATCCCTGTTGGCACTGACTTCCCACCTTCCTTTGTGAAATAGAAAGTCACTTCAAATCCCTGGGTCCTGTCCACACTCAGGGATGACCACATGCCACGGTGGAGGCGAGGTCCACCGCCGTTCTCCGGAGTGCGGCACACACCAGTGCCGGTCTCCTGGGACCAGGCAGAAATACTCCATGTCGAGTTCCAGTCATTGCTGGACAAGGCAGCCATCAAGATGGTTCGAAGAGGTCAGGAAAACAAGGGATTTTACTCCATGTACTTCTTAGTGACCAAAAAGGATGGAGGGTGCAGACCCATTCTCAATCTAAAAGGGCTGAACAACATTATTGAGGTGCTTTCTTTCAAGATGGAGAAACTGCGATCAGTGATCTCATCTGTCAAGGCAGGGGATTGGCTGACATCAATCGACCTCAAAGACGCATATTTCCATGTCCCAGTGCACCCCAATTTCAAAAATTACCTTTGACGGGCAGTGCTACCAGTTTCACATGCTCCCCTTCAGCATCTCTGCGGCGCCAAGGGAGTTCACCAAATTGATGTTGATCTCAGATCGCAGGGCCGGTTTTGCCAGCCATACTTTGACAGATGACTGGCTCCTGAGGACATTAGGCCAACAGTTGAGTTCGGGATTATCTCCCAGTTGTACAGGTCGTTCCAGGTGGATCTGTTTGCCTCTGGAGTGACAAACCAGATTCCAGTGTTTTGCTCTCGGATTCTGAATCTGAGGGCGATTGCCGCCGATGCTTTCGATTGAACGGACAGGGTACTGTGGACTTTCCAAGGCAGCTTTCCTTGTGGCGATAATGTGTGGCAGATAGGCCGGCGACATTCACGCAATGTCAGTGGATCCTGAGCTGACCGTCTTTCACAGGGATAGGGTCAGCATTAGTTTGCAAGACTCTTGTAGCCCTAAGTTCTCAGGCTCGGCTCGGATCTCCTGGCTTTTACTCAGCCTCCTTTGTCCGGTACCTCTCTACGACGTGGCTTATAGCATAAGAACAGCGTCTATCCTTAAGGACAAACAACTGTTCTGCTATGGTTACACAATGCCATTTAGAAAGTGGTCAGATGTAACATATCTTCAACTGTTCTACTGTTATGGTGCTTCTACTGTTATTTCGGCGAACAAGCAAACCATTTCAAGGTGGCTTGTCTCTGCCATTGTTTGGGCTATATTCCCATGAGTAAACTCATTCGGTTTAGGGCAGTGACCACATCAAAGGCGTATGCTGCGGCACTGCCCATTGAGGAGATCTGCTTAGTGGCTATTTGGAGCCATCCGAGCACGTTCATCCGTACCTATCAGCTGAAACACTCTTGTGCGCCTGCTCGGTTTGTCCAGACAGTTCTCCTCACAGTGGGCGAAGTTGTAACTCTCTTGACGTTTGAGCTTTCGAGATTACATTATTCTGCTCTTCCTGGTGTTGGGTTATGTCATTCCTCCTTTTATCAGTGATGGTATTTGGTGGTCGTATTTTCCTGCACTTCAAATTGGCTTTTACAGCGTTGTTCTCGCTTCACTCATTATTTCCATCCCACCGCGCTTTGCTGGCTGGGTGTACGTTGCGGGGAATGGGTTGTCAAGTCCCCCCATACCATATTCTTCCAAACATTGTTGGTTGGGAGGTGGGGTTGATTGATATGCTTCTAAGCCAATCAGTGTATGAGCTTGGCATTTCTACTCCCTGCCCTAAACCACGCCCCTAGCCTGATTGACATTGGCAGTCAGGTGAGTGGGTAAGCGTGTTTTTCTGTCTCTGATCGGTGGTAGATTCCATTGGAGAATGCCCCTGAGGGGCCCTGTAGGGATGGTCTCACAAGACAAAAAGGTTTTTGTTTTGTATATATTTTTTATTAAAATATTGTACAACTGTCATAGGATTTTAAAATGGACATTTTAATGCATTATATGTACCCCAAGGAGGACTTTCTTCAAAGAATCAGAAACCTCTACAGGTTTGTTCGAGTTTTGATTACCTCAAGTATATAATAGAGGCAGTTATATAAGAACTAGTGAAAATGTAATCGTTAATTTCTGAGATTTGGTCCTTTTAGAGAATTGTGTATCATCATTATTTAGATGAAGTGAGTGACTGAGCATGCATGAGTGAGAATTTTCATGTGTGTGTGTTCATGTGTCTCTGCGTTTGTTTGTTTGTGTGTGAGTGAGTGAGTGGGTGAGTGGGTGGGTAAAGAGGAGACAAAATACACTGACACTGATGTCAAGGTGAGCTAAGGAACATTTTCCTTCTATGTATGTCATAACTTTCAAACAAATTACACATTTGCCTTGACAATGATTCAATAAAGTTTAACAGAAGTGCCTCTGTTTTATATGTTTAAGTTTTATTAATATTGCAGGAAGAGTACACCATGCACTAGGGCACCATACAAAAGCTGTTCAGTACCTGGAGCAAGGACTGAACATTGCTGAGCAGTTAGGACGGCGTGAAGATGAGGCCAAAATAAGGCATCGACTTGGGCTGTCTCTATGGGGAGATGGACGGTTGGATGAGTGTCAAATCCAGCTATATAAAGCAGCTGACTTGTTTGAGACAATCCGGCGAGAATCTCAGTGGAGCAGTGACTACAAACTGTCATTGTTTGACCTGCAATCAGCATGCTACCAAACACTTCAGGTAATGACCAACTCAGAAACATGTTTATGCCTCATTTTGTATCTCGGTTATCTCAATATTGTGTTGATTATATGTATCTTGACTTGACTAGATTCAACATTTGCTCAACTGTATGCCTGCAATATTCATTGTTTAGCTGTAGCCCCTGGTCACATTCTTCTTATCTGAAGCCTAAAGAAACAAGTGCCTGCAATATTCATTGTTTAGCAGTAGCCCCTGTTCACATTCTTCTTATCCCAAGCCTAAAGAAACAAGTGCCTGCAATATTCATTGTTTAGCAGTAGCCCCTGTTCACATTCTTCTTATCCCAAGCCTAAAGAAACAAGTGCCAGGATACAGAAACAGACTTTGTCTATCAGCCTCAGTTTCCACTGCAGAAGAACATGCTCAATATTTCTGCTTAAAACTTTGTACACACATCTGGCTTGCCATATAATGATGACATTTGCCATATAATGATGACATTTGCCATCAAGGATTTTTTTAGTTATTCCAAATGAGGGTTCCTGTTATGCAGAATATATATAATATACACTATGCACTGTTTTTAAGCACATCAGATGTAAGATGTTTGTTTGTAAAGAGGGGAAGGGTCAGGCTCAGTTATTGGGTTGAATGTGCCACAATGTACTCTGACAGACTCTCTCTTTATTCATTATGTTTGAGAAACATGAATTTAAGAACTGATTTTTTCCCTTGAAAGTCACGACAGTATTTATATTGACTTACATGTTTATGTGGCATGTCATATTGTTGTTAAGTTCAACAAACACAACAGAATCAGATTGTGTGTCTACCAAATATATATAGGAATGATATTTCATGGGGTTTTTAACTATTTTGAACCCTTGACATTAAGTATCGGGCAGATGACATCAGCCGTTTCAGATGGTAAGCCTACGTAAGATAGGTAATTAAGTGTTGTAATGGATTTATAGCATGATAAGAGGAATTAATCTTTAGTAAGATGGATACCAAGACTCTTAAATTAAGTCATCGCTTACTTGACATTCAGATTAAACATTCTTTCATTTGAGATAATTATTCTGTTTTGGTTTTTGCAACAAAGTAGCTATAATTTAGGTGATTCAGAACATTGCAATGATATTTTAGTTAATTCTTTATGTATTTTCAGCTTCTCTGAAATGGTTGTATGGATTTGGCTGAAATTAAATGTGTATGTTTGTCAGTGAAGTGTGAAGTGGGGTTCCATTTATTTTCAAGGTATCACAATTGGAATTTCCAGCTGATTTCATCTTTGATTTAAAGAAATATTTGAAACATCATCAAACGTGAAGAGACACGTTTGGGGAATCTTAACCAGAAAAGAAATATGGAAAATATATTGAAACCTAAAAATAATTAGCCATCAACCACTGTACAGAGAGTACAACTGGCAGCAAGGTCAATATTGGAGTCGGTATATTATTGCCCCACAACTGACGTTTCTCACATTTTCAACTTGGCCAGTACTAACTACTTATTCACCTGACTTACAGTTAAGCAAGCTAATGTCGTGACAACCACACTTCCACATTTCTGTAGTTCTTGTGCTTATAACTACCCCAACAGCTGAAACAGTTGTGAGTTAATCAGAGAGTAATAGTGCAGTTTTTATCCACCCGTGTTGTACAAAATCTTTGTCTTCTTTCAGAGAGTGTTGGTGGACCTTAGTCGTCCTGAGGAAGCACTTGCTGTGGCTGAAAGGGCATGCACTCGTGCTTTCATTGATCTGCTACTTGAAAGGCAAGCAGGTTCTGCAGGCTTGTTTAACGGAACAACTATGGATTTGTCTCCTATTACCATCGACCAGATCAACACAACTGTCAGTAAGCAGCATGGAGTGGTTTTGTACTTCTCCATTGCTGCTGGCTTTCTTTACAGCTGGCTTCTCACACCTAAAAATGGTGAGTCAACTTTATCATTCCTACAAATACATGCATCTAACACTGGATTGCCTTTTGCTCACTGGTTTAGGATCAAAATAAAATTTGTGTATTCTAAGATTTCTGTTTCTTCAAATTCTCATTGTGGGTAAATAAATCAATTATTAATTCCAAGTAACTGTGTTGTCTTTATTCCTGGTGGGGCGGTGGGGTAGCCCAGTGGTTAAAGCGTTGGCTCGTCACGCCGAAGACCCGGGTTCGATTCCCCACATGGGCACAATGTGTTAAGCCCATTTCTGGTGTCCCCCGCCATGATATTGCTGGAATATTGCTAAAAGCAGCGTTAAACTAAACTCAGTCAGTCAGTCAGTTTATTCCTGGTGGTCCACCAAGACACAATCTGTGGTAGCTATTTCCCCTTGTGGTCCACCAAAACACAATCTACAGTAGCTATTTCCCCTTGTGGTCCACCAAAACACAATCTACAGTAGCTATTTCCCCTTGTGGTCCACCAAAACACAATCTACAGTAGCTATTTTCCATTGTGGTCCACCAAAACACAATTTACAGTAGCTATTTTCCATTGTGGTCCACTAAAACACAATCTACAATAGCTATTTCCCCTGGTAGTCCACCAAAACACAATCTACAGTAGCTATTTCCCCTTGTGGTCCACCAAAACACAATCTGTGGTAGCTATTTCCCCTTGTGGTCCACCAAAACACAATCTACAGTAGCTATTTTCCATTGTGGTCCACCAAAACACAATGTACAGTAGCTATTTTCCATTGTGGTCCACTAAAACACAATCTACAATAGCTATTTCCCCTGGTAGTCCACCAAAACACAATCTACAGTAGCTATTTCCCCTGGTGGTCCACCAAAACACAATCTACAGTAGCTAATTTTTCCTTATCCTGACTCATGCTCTTTTGCTTGTCTTCTTCTTCTTGCGAACATAGTGGAACACTTGTATCTCCCTAATTGAAGCTCCCTTCAATGTAAAATCACTAATTAGAACCCACCACGAGTTGCCTCCCTCTCCCAAAATGTGCGGGAACGGAGGCGCCACCTCTGCCCATATGCTTCACTCTCTCCTTCTTCGCCCAGTGAGCAGGATGTGAGAGCACCTGTGTCTCCCTACACTTTATATCCTTACGACAACGATTATTTTTAGTTAGTTACCTCTGATAGGCATCTATAGAGGTTTAGCTAGTATCCTTCAACATTATGTATTGATATTTATTCGTGTTTCTACTGTTTATTCACGGGACGCCGTGATTGTTCAGTGATTACATTGATGAAAATCTGTACTATTTGCAGGTTACGTTTTTCTGCTGCTGATCCGCATTTAATATGCCCTAGCTGTACTGCGCCATGTTCATTTTCTTCACGTTGCAGTTGCTGTACTAATTTATCCAATTCTGCCTTTAATAAATATTTACTTTGCATTTGAGACGCGCAGCAGATAGGTCACGTAAGCAGAGTCTAGCCATGACTGATACACCTGAACCCCTCGCCAGTCAACTGCTGTTGGTCGACCACCCTCCCGTCTGGTGTTCAGCGTCCTGCTTCCCCAGACATCCCGTCATCGCAGCCGAAGACTAGAGGGCTTCTACTGCATCTCAACGCAGACTCCGAGCCCCCAGGGCAGCGTCGACCTCTGAGGGGAAATCAACGAAGTCTACTAGAACTTTCTCAGCCGAGATTGTTCCCGTCGCAGATTTGGGCCTGTATGATGATCAGCCGATCATCATACCTGATGTACATCAAAAGAATGACCGATGTCGGCAACATTGATGTCAGCGCAGATCAACATGCAGCCTGATGTACCAACGCTGATGTCCGATGATCTTCCTGAGGGTCCCGTCTCTACCAACGCAGATGGGGCAGCTACTACTTCATCGTAGACCGTCCCAGACGACCTGATGCGTCAGATTATGGAGATGATGTAAGACCGCTACGGTCTGGAGAGGCAACCAGCCTTGAGCCTTCGCGAAGGCTCCAACGTAGCGGTCACATCAGAGGGACCCCCTGTCAGCGAAGCAACTGCTACGAAGCCATCGTCGAGGAAGCCACCTTCGCGAAGGTCGTCACAGCCCACCGCCACGAAGGACCCAGATGTTCAGCATCCAAGTCATCTTCGTCTAGAAGGTCATCGAGGGATTCACCGAGAGCTTCGCGAAGCTATCAACGTTCACCACATAGATCTCCGCGAAGGTCACCATACAGACGCAGCTCGTCACGCCGTTTTCCACGTCGATCTCCTCGCCTGTCTCCACGTTGATCTCTTCGTCGTTCACATCGTAGATCTACTCACAGATACGGATTCAGCGTTCGTGAAGACATTCGCGAAGGAGAATTCTTCCATCCCCGGATACAGAATCAGATGACAAGCGTTCGCATAGGCGGTCGCGTAGAACCAGTCACCACTCCCCAAGTACGGACTCAGATGAGCCTTCGCGAAGCCCTTTGCGAAGGACGTCAGCTACAGTTTACAAGACATCTTCGTCCTATAGTTTGTCGAGGGATTCACTAGGACCTTCGCGAAGCTACAGGTCACCCTAAACATCACAGTACTTTGTCTATCAACTAAACGCTACATGTCATCACCGAGCCTGCGCGAAGGCATTCGCACAGACATCCACAAGACAGAGACGTCGCAGTACTTAACTTTTAACAGAACGTTACTTATAGTCTATAAGTTACGCGAAGGACTGTCTACAGATGAAGAGCCTAATAAAGGATGGCCGACTACCTACATCAAGGGCATCAACGACGCTTCGCAGATCATCACAGGAATCACCATTTCCGTATATATTGCCAGGTAGGCAATTCCGGACTACGAAACGATTATCTACATGCAAGGAGCCATACAGGCACACCAAGTTGACCACTACGCAGATCACTACGCAGATCGTCAAGATTATACAACTAGGACACGAAATAGCATCATCCTAGAATGGGAATATCTTCATCGGTACACAGACGAAAGATAGATAATACAGTACAAGAGAGATAATCTTGTCAGTATTCATCACTAGCATGGACCATCAGACGGAATCCAGGACAGGATTCACATAGATTGATATATCTACATTAGTAGATTCATGACCTTATAGAGATCTTCACCTTCGGACAGATCTGCAGACAATTTCAATATCGGAATTGAACAGCAGCCTTGCTACAGCAAGTAAAATACATAATCGTCAACGATTTCCTGAGAAGTTCAGCATTAATTCTACAATTACGACGCTGCATTGATGTATGCAGTCTACAAGCTGACAACGTAAAAGTTTTATTGAGCCTATAGAAGGACGACGGCATTATCTTCAAGACTGAAGTTACATTCACAGCAGCCAGGAAAATAACCTACCCAGCATTGATATTACACGGCGAAATATTCGGGCGTTTACCATTAACCCTCGACACACGTGGTCACTCGTGTAACTTCGGAAAGTTACGGACAAGACCGACAATTGATCAAATATCAACGACGGCACTAGATTATACAAGGTTCTTTTTCCTGCTACACCGGTGACATCACAGCGCGGCTACACTACAGAATCAAAATGCTTTGTTCTGATTGGACCGCGAGGGACAACGCCCTGCGCAGAGGTCGGTCATAGTTCACAGTTCAAGACATGGGTTGCAAGTGACAACAACATGTCAGTGAGCGAGCAACGCCTCCATTACAGTTCAGTTAGACTGGACCTTCATGATTTGGCTGCCTTCATGGGGTTAGAGACCTCCCCTGTCAATTAAGGACGAGGGCACGGCAGTCAGGCGATTTTTACATAAAGTTTCAACGATGGCAGTCACAGAGTCAGCCATCGCTTCATTTCCTTACAGACACGGGAAGGGTGTCAAGTTTGTAGGATATAGATACAAGTTTTTGTATCTCAAGCACTACTCTCTCCGTTTTTACTACGAAGTGGTGGAATCTGTTGGGGTTTCGCTCTTCAGCACAAGACATGAAATGCAAAGAGAATTATCATTACGCCCACTACTGGTCTTCATGAATGTACAACCGGATGATACGGACAGGTTATAACCTATATCTATATATGGTGAACTCCGTGTGAGGAGGGTTGCAGACGCACCTAATTAGCGGAGTCACAGTACAAAGACGCATCTCTATGGGGACGCATCTCTCCTAGAGTGGGACCACATCTTGACAACAATATGTCAGCTGTGATATGGACCATAGCAGACACGATCTGCACTTCCACAGGCTGGAAATGAAACCAGCAATAAACGCCATACTTCACCGGATCAGCTTTTTATAAATGCTCATCTAACGGTACACACAGTCACCTCCACAGGGACTGTCTGCATTCACAGAAGGATCAACAAAAGTTGGCGAACCTTCTGGACCTCTGCTTTCAGTTGATCAGCATAACAGTCAAATTGACTATCCATAGCAGTAAACACCACATTCCAAGAACCAAGAATGTGTTAGCAGTACACTATCATGTTCAACGCAGCCATTCTCAACAGACTGGATGCTATATTTAAAGATCTTCAAACAGATCATATAAGAGAGGGTTGAACCTTGAAGAGTTCTCTTCCCCACAAGGTTCAACTAATAACACAGGGGCAACGGACATGCGAAGCATCTCCTGCCTAGGTCTAAACTCTTACGTGTTTTCCACCAGCTCTAATACCTAGGGTATTGCAGAAATCAGTCAGGCGAGAGACCCACAACTATTTGGGGCACGCCTTTTGGCCAGCGAGAATAGGAATTCATATTTTCATACAAGACCCAGGACTGCTTCTACTGCAACTACCAGAGTGTACGAATCTACTAGTACATCCTCACACAAAATAAGCGCACGGAAACCCAGAAGCATTCCAACTTTACGTATGGACTGTTTTTAAGCGTGTTAAACAACAGAGGTTACTCAGCCAGAGCGGCAAAAGCAGTCACGCTTGCTTTACGCAATGCTACACGCAACTTGTATTATGACAAGTGACACAGTTTTGAGATATACGCTGCTAAAAAAGGGATTTACAGCTAG